TTCTCAGGATGATGCATAAATTCAGCATAGCGTGGTCGTGAATGTGAATCATTCGTCAAATATTTCTCACTGTCCTAGTTGAATTACTTGAGCAATTGGCCGTTGTACCTAGATAAACCACAGTTCTGAGAGTGGAGTCATAAGCAGTTGACACAGTTAATGCAGAGAACGACTCATTGTCAATTATTTGCTGCACATTATTTTACAATGCAAGGGGGGTTATGATGTGTAAACTATTACCCATTAAATGAGATTACCTCTAGGTCATTATCAAACAGAAAAAGGCAGTGGCATACTGCGTGTTACACCTGTTTTATCGTGTATCCTATACACCTCTGACACGATATCACTTACACAATATAAAACATTCTCAAACACCTGTAATACGAAACCCAAGGGAATTAACTCTGGGGTTATCAGACTGGAGGTTATTGTGTCTGGTACAGATTGTGTCACAATGGCAGTGCGTGTTACTTTGTTCCTCATGCAAAGTTCCTGCAGTTGTTTTAAAGACACGCTGTGCAATTAGATCACTAGGGACACAATTATGTTTTGTGTAGAGAGTTTAACGTTGTCTTTGATCAATATAAGGTTTAAAAGGAGATATTGGGCAAAGGTCCTTCAATAAGGCTGTTGTTGTATGATCACAAAATACAATAATTATGCCAAACACAGTTGACAGATATTCTCTGATCTAAATATGGTTTATTATGCAATGTTTTAAGTACATGATATGCGTAAAAAATAAAGATGGTTTGCAACTGAACACTGTAATCTTGTTGCATTTAGTCAGGTAGAGGAAGTTGAAGTTCTCATATTAATGATAAAGGATTGTACCTTTAATACTAAGATAGGGTGTTGTCCTATGACGGTTAGTCAAATAGATGATGAGATAAGGTGGCTATCATATTACATCTAATAACGCGCCTCGGGTCTTCACAATAGACTATTATTGGCTTCTTTTTCATCATTGACGCGTGGAATAGACTACCACCAGAAGTGCTTTATCTTTTTAGACACTGTACTTCAGAATTTGCGTTTACATGTAACGACCTTGTACCAATAATACTTTCATAAATGTGTTTGTATATGTTGTCCTTTTCTAATAAGACTAATGAAATATTTATTGGAGGGGGCGTTTCATCTTCTAATCGCACAATTGTCTCTCTAAATGCTCCGCACTGGGCTGCTACCATGGTTAATGCAACGTTCAAACAACATTTAATATTGAAACTTAAACATGGAATGCAATTCTATATAATCAGATGCCGACATAAATATGATTATTTTCAGTACTATTATGTTTATTAGCAGAACCAGTATTATTTGTTTCTCTATTTACTTAAGTCAGTCGTGGAATGCACGCGCACTGCCACTTCAAGGTAAATGTGTGAGAACAAGCTCTTCATAGTTTCTCACGGTTCCTAGTGCCAAATTTTGGTAAATTGCCAGCTGCATTACGTTTTGGTCTGATAATCACTCAAACTTACCTTTACCATAGTCACGAACACATGATCTAACGTGCACCCACATGTGTCATACCGTGTACCTAAAATACTAATGACATTTAAGGACGGGTTAAGGGCTTGGTGTTAGATAACCCAACGAAATCCTGTGTGTCCTTGCCTCCATTCATCTAGAGAGCATGCACATTCCAAATGATGCATCTTAGTTGTGCATGCATTGACCCAATTCTCACGATTTTTACCAATTCTTCGTCAAGGTGAATCTGTTTTCGTGATTTGTTGATGACGTAAGAGAAATACTATTTAGATTCATGTACTTCTTATTTTACGTCTTTGACCCAATTCCCATACCTTTTACCAGCAACAAATATACCAGAGTTTCATCTTGTACTTTAAAGGAAATTAGTAATTAACATCCATTTGCACCATTCCCATTTCCAGCTCGACATCTGTGACTCAAGTTAACGTGACCACATTATAAAGTTACCACGTCAGAAGCTATTGTGTTGGAATGGTATTTGCAATGATGCAAAGTGTCAGTTTTTCGTGAAATATTTAAAAAAAAAACAAGTTTATGTAGAATAAATTCAGATGACCTATTTACTATTTATAAATGTTGGGAGTGATAAGATGCGGTATTAATAGAAAAAGCCCTTGCAGTATATTTGTAAAAGTCTTCGATCACCTTATTTTAACTTATTGTCTCCATCCACATTTTAGGTTCAATAATCAGATTCTCATACTGACATTACCCTATAAGTTATATTGGTACTGACAGTTCCTCACAGTAACACCATTAACAAGTTATGTAATATGTCGAAACTCATAATATTCATCATACCTTTCGATGTAGTATAAGAGTTTGTTGAACTTAAAAAAGTAAAGACAAACTTCGCAAGTCCCGCCTTCTGTCTCACCAATATCAGCCGTTGTAACTGCCTCTAACCTTTTGGTGTTGTCAGAACGTTCGTGTACTTCATTCCCATAAGCTTACAAACTAATTGAAACTGACAACTTTTCATGTAATACCATCAAAACAACATATATTATGTGACACTGATAATATTACCCACTACTGTTGGTAATACAAGCATTAGGACACGCATTCCTTTTGACTGATACATATAGCAATGGTCACTCATTTATAACACTCTTTTATAACTATACCAAAAATATCTGCTATATGATAAACATTACATTACATGAAACATGTCGAATACCTAAGCTTATAGAATTGAAAACACCATAAAAACTACAGGTAATACATCAAAACTCATACCGTAAAATCAGCAACTGTCGCTGGTGATACGGTAGCTTGGGCAATAAAAAGTACATCTTGCTCAGGAGTAATTATATTACATACGTACTTACATAAAGTACTTTCTGACTTGATACTACATGATATTATACTTTGTGTAAAGGTTAGTTTTGTCACCCTCGCAATTTGAATATTACAGATATATTAGTTCAACACCTTCTTTTCTCCTGACGATATTAGACAATTTTTACTGTGTCGATCGCTGACCATCTTTCTTAGACGTAATAACGATTCTATGGGTCTTGATTCGAGAACTAGGACATAATGCAGTTGGTTGACGACGTTTGCATTTGTTGCCTTTTACCTTCAATTTCTCATATTTTAAGAGCTATTAATGATTTTCTTGGCCACAGTTTGGTGATAAACCATGTAAAACTATCGATTGATCATTGAAGAAAATCACCTTTTTCTAAAGACACACTTTTCTTAATGATTTCACACTTTGTAGGGACACCTTTTTCATTGAAGTAATCTGGCCAGGGAGGTGATGTAATACAATCGATTAGTTATTGAAGATGTCGTATCACCTGCTACCGAAGACACCTATTTCAGATCATCTTTATTGTTTCACACTTTCATATCAGCCATCTTTAAGATAAACACCAACACGCTACACCTCCATTTGACAAACCCCTGAAACTGTTAGGGATATTAATCATGTAATACAATTGATTGTTTTATTTGAGGTGACCATTCATTTGTTCTAAAAGCGACAAAACGCACCCCGCCCCTCTTTTTATTGCTTTACAACGTCCAAAAGTTCCAAAAATAAAGCAAATATTTCAAACATTTAAGGGGGTTTTCAATTTCCAAAACTCCAAGCAAATTATAACTTCGATTATGACGATATGAGATAACAATAGATAGTAAAAAGGTAATACCTAACTAGAGTTTCAGCTTTTTAGAAGTAAAAAAGAATCTTTTTATTTATATAGGGACGTAATGAAAAATTGCAACAAAAATAATTAAAGGCACATTAACGGTCAAAAGACAATTTGTGTCATTCGGACAGCCCATCTGCCATAGTTCTCAAATCTTGGATTTCAGACCACAAATTATATCTACGAATAGTCATCTAAATATTTCTTTTCAAGAGCGATATCGCTTAATTTCTTCTATCGGTAGCAGTTTTTAGTAATACTTCTCGAATCACAGTTCTGCTACAAACATATAAGCTGAAACTGGGTTAAATTAACCTCGTAAAGTAAATACTTATACAATTATGTCTCTTTAAAGCCTTGATAATAACTGCAATAATAAGCGTGTACCCGTTATATAATTAAGTAAATTTCAAGGCACGTGTCCTCTTTACTTTAGGAATATAATATATATAATTAGATAATAGCTAAGCTTAAAATAACCATAGTAAATAAATTACTTATTAAGTAGGTAACCCTTTATTTACTATAACCATAAAACATGTAGTAGATAAACCATTTATTTTAAGAATAAAAGATATATAATTTGGTAACAGTTTAGCTCAAAATAACTATATTAATTCCTTATTAAAAAGGTAAATCCCTATCTACCATTGTGACTTAATCATAACTGCGTAATACTTGTATTTTTGTATCAAGAATATAACATATTGGATAATAATTCAACTCAAAATATCAATATCAAGTAATTTCCCGCCAAAAATCTCCAGTGACATAACGGGCACCTGTACATCAGATTACGTCTGTCACTGTATCTGATGTCAGCAAAAGTGATGTCATTTAAGCTATAATACAGACTACAGTGTTACATCTTGACAGTTTCTTATTAATCTTTATCGTGTGAAGTGTACATGATATTGACTTGCTATTTTGTTCATTAACAAATTGTTTATCGGATCGTTGATTATTATTTATTAATTTGTTAACTGATAAAAAAAAAGTTGTTTATATTATGTTATATGAAATAGTTTATAAAATTACAATGGATAATGAATCGAATACACCAACTGTTTTAAGAGAAATAGGTATACTATTTTCAACAAGTGTTTTACAAATAACTTCAAATTTTCAAGGCCTGTTTATCTGTTATTCGGTTATACGCCCAAATACATTACTTTAGATAAAAAAAAAAATCAAAATCAAAATAAGCTTAGGTGTATGATTTTTGATAAAAGACAACATATCGTTACAGCCCGTGACCCTTGACCGTCTAAGGCTAAAAATTTAAAAGAAAAAAGTAATATCATTCTAAATTTGATTATTTTTTTTCAATTTCAGGAACAGTATTACGTAGATTACGTCACAGTTCAGATAGTGATGACTTCGTTAATGGACAATCCTCGAACGCTCATGGACCTCTACCGGACATCATCCCACATGTACGTGATCGTTCCGTATCCCTTCCGGACATGCAGGCATTACGAGTACAGAGAGAATTGGAAGTGGGGCGAGAATTAAGGAGATTGAGTGATGAATTCAATACAAGTTATAGCCGAGGTCGTGAACGAAGACGAGCGGTGAGTTATCTACTCTTGTTTCTCGCTGTGCTGGAATCCTGCTCAGGCCTGTTTGCAGCTCCAGTCTGCAGATCTGTGTTAGAACCAACTTTAAAGACAATTGCATCCATGCATAAGTGACATTGAAGGATATTGACAAATTACTTTTTTTAAAAATTATCCTGAATTGCAAACAAAAAGTGACATTACCATAGTAACTCAATTTACTATTGCTGTTTCGAGAAAACAAATTGCAAAAACGATTTGGGATAAATACATTAATTAGTGTTGTACATTCATACATTTAAAAAAAGGGAGAAAAAAAACGTGTTGCAAACAAAGCAATTGCCTATTCTGCAACCTGTGCAATAGACAAAACTATAAGGATAGACCTGTTTAAAATCAATTTGGGACTAATACATTCAAGAAATAGAAGCGTAAGTATGCTTGTGTACTGTATTAGTTTCTTTAGCAGCAAGTTTTGTAGAATTATCATCACAGGCAGATCTTAAGATATGTTTTGGGTTCATATCATTACCAAACCATCAGAACACTTGCTAACACTAAGCGACTGGGCATGTCCCTCCCCCTCCTTTTTTCCCGGGACGTACCAGACACACTCCATCCGTTCAGTCTCAATTAGCAAAACGTCAGAAATTTTTGTCGTAAAGAAGAAATGTGTAATTGATTGTCAGGAAACAAACAGGGAGGAGTCGAATAAGATCAATAAATATCTTTGTCTATATTTAGTAAAGCGAGTAGGTTCTATATTTATAATTCTTACTCACGTCTGTACAACTGATTTCCGCTACTATACTCGTCATTATACTGTTATTTGTTATCATTATTCATTATGAATAGCTAATGAGGACAATTATACTGTTATTCATGTGATAATAATGATGCAAACTTAATATAAAAATCTTGTTAATTTTTAAACAATACTAGATTACAATAATAAACTATGATGGCGTTTCTTTGATGTAGTTTTCTGACAACACTGTCAATAATTATTTATATATTTTTTGGAAAAAGATCTCCATTATTCTTGAATAACGTCTTCCATTTTGATCACAAGTTTTTAATGGATTATGTTTGCATTATTGAGATGTATAATCTTAAGCAGTCAAGTAATATAATGCTTACAAGTAATTTGGTATGCACCGTTTTCACTCCACTCAGCTAGATAATAGAATATATAAATCAGTAATGCTATGTTGACAAGCTGGCTAATATAATCTGTAATTTGGTATGCACCGTTTTCAATTTAGATCGTACTGGACAAATATATCTTTATCAATATTTCATGATTATATCTCAAGAATACAATATGTATTATCTGCGATTGTTTTTTATCATAAAAGGAGATTATTTTTATCGGCAAATTAATGGAACTATAAGAGTAATTCAATGAACTCCGGTTTGAATTATTTATAAGATTAGTATTCTTACGCACCAGAAGCTAATAATAAAAGCTAAATTAATAAAAATTGTCGAATATCAATTAAACCTGAAGATAATTAGGCGGCATGTTAAAAAAGTTCTTTTGAATATTAAAAATTTTATACATTTTATTGTATAGTACTTTCTTCATTAATCGTGAGGAATATTCCGTCAAAAATGTTATGAACAACGGTAAAAATAAGATTGCCCTCTAGCAGCTTCCCTGTTATCAATTTTCTTCGAATGATTTTCTGTGTAAAATCATAAATATGTGATTAATAAAAGACATTCAAAATTGGCTCTATCTCTCAATATAAACGACGCCTGTCTCAACTGCTTAGCGGCGTCCCTCTTATCTTTTGCATTGTGAAACAGTTGGAAATTTTTGAAGGCCATACTTTTATGAGCACATATGACGTTGAAATTTCATTTGTTCAAGGTCATAAGTATAACAAGAAAAGTAAATATGCATGAGATACTATTTTGGCCGGGCTGTAGGGTTCTACAAACCAATTATTGTTAGTAATAGGTGACGTATGTAAAACGCAATTCCATTACATAAAAAGAGAATTAAGTTTGCGGTTAAAAAGCACTGGACCAAATCATGACATGTACTTTTTAGACATATAAAATTTCACCACCATGTGTTAGGAAGATTCTAGTCAATTATTTTATCAATACTGCAGGTCACTTAGTACGTTACATGTTGTACACTAAACTCAAGGGCACTTCACACAATTACTTGTACTCAACCCAAACTACTTAACAACTGCCTTCTATTCCTGGAACTAGCTATTTTCGTGTTAAAAATCTCCCTCTTAGATAATCATTTTAAGGACGTTGTCTAATGACTTTTTAGCCCGACATTGACGTTGTCTTTCCTTAATGCTTCAAACTCTCTGTCAATTTCCAACTACTAACATTTTCGCTTGTGTAAACGAGCCCTGATTATTACTACACGTGTTCATAGTAAATCCCACTTGTCGAGGTTATTCGGTGCAAGATTCTTAATTATAACAGTAAACAAGTCTAGATTGTCATGACGTAAATCTAATTACTGATATAACTAACGTACTGGTTATTCGAATATAGATCGTGTGAATTTCTCCTATCAAAATAAGTTCGGAATGATTAATTTTGAGGTGAAATAAGTAAATTGCAGTTTTTATTGGCAAACAATGACACAATATAAAACACTATTGAATTAGTCAGAGGTTGGTTTGGGTATTATTCAGGTTATGTTAGGTCCATGACGTTAGTATTCAATTTGAATAATAAATATTTTTGAATTAATCACAAAGGTGATACCAAGTCCACTCCACATGTGTAAATAAACAACCGGAAAGAATTGTTACATAACAAAATTGTTTATGAGTATTAAAGCGAGGTTTACATTACAAGTGTATCCTGAACTTGTCAGTCTTAACAACAATAGGCAAATATATTTGGAGAAGTCGAGTACTATAGTATTAGTAGTATTATCGTGTTCAGGATTAGTTTACTGTATAACTACTCTACAACAATGGACTCTAATAGTGGTACTGCGCTGTACCGGTTAACAAATAAACTGATGTAGTTGTACTGCACTGTACAATAGCGTGATACAGATTATCGTACTGCACTGTACAGTTTAAATTTAACAGATAAAGCAATGGTGCTATGCAGATAGTTGTACTGTACTGTATGTATAGTTTAGCAGATAAAACAATGGTGCTATTGCAGATAGTTGGGCTGCATTGTACAGTTAAAGAGATAAAACAATGGTGCTATGCAGATAGTTGGGCTGTACTGTATAGTTTAGCAGATAAAACAATGGTGCTATGCAGATAGTTGGGCTGTACTGTATAGTTTAGCAGATAAAACAATGGTGCTATTGCAGATAGTTGGGCTGCACTGTACAGTTAAACAGATAAAACAATGGTGCTATGCAGATAGTTGGGCTGTACTGTACAGTTTAGGAGATAAAACAATGGTGCTATTACAGATAGTTGGGCTGCACTGTACTGTATGCAGATAAAACAATGGTGCTATTGCAGATAGTTGGGCTGCACTGTACAGTTAAACAGATAAAACAATGGTGCTATGCAGATAGTTGGGCTGCACTGTACAGTTAAACAGATAAAACAATGGTGCTATTGCAGATAGTTGGGCTGCACTGTACAGTTTAGGAGATAAAACAATGGTGCTATTGCAGATAGTTGGGCTGCACTGTACAGTTTAGGAGATAAAACAATGGTGCTATTGCAGATAGTTGGACTGCACTGTACAGTTTAGGAGATAAAACAGTGGTGCTATTGCAGATAGTTGGGCTGCACTGTACAGTTTAGTAGATAAAACAATGGTGCTATTACAGATAGTTGGGCTGCACTGTACAGTTTAGGAGATAAAACAGTGGTGCTATGCAGATAGTTGGGCTGCACTGTACAGTTAAACAGATAAAACAATGGTGCTATTGCAGATAGTTGGGCTGCACTGTACAGTTAAACAGATAAAACAATGGTGCTATGCAGATAGTTGGGCTGTATTGTATAGTTTAGCAGATAAAACAATGGTGCTATTGCAGATAGTTGGGCTGCACTGTACAGTTAAACAGATAAAACAATGGTGCTATTGCAGATAGTTGGGCTGCACTGTACAGTTAAAAAGATAAAACAATGGTGCTATTGCAGATAGTTGGGCTGCACTGTACAGTTTAGGAGATAAAACAATGGTGCTATGCAGATAGTTATTTAAAATTTGAAAGTAGAAACGTCTTTGACGATGGTATTCTGATAAAGTAGTAGTTCTGTAGTTGACCCCAATTGTGACTAGAAGACCTCTTTGAATCTCGTTATTGCTATGTTAGTATATAAGGTTTATGTCACACATTATGCAATATAAATGACAATGAAATGAGCTTTACCAGAAACACATCATGCATGCATATTTTAGTTCGGAAAATTTCAATGAACGTACAGAAAATTTTTGTGTCGATAGGAATTTCTCCAACAGATGTTGTCTATCGTTGACTAGGCATCGTTGCATACCAGCTGGGTTAATTAAATTGGAAACAGTTAGGACCTGTCTAGTACTATAGTACAGTGCTTTTGGTTTATGTCCTATTAAAAATAATAGTAGTTGTAATTAGTAGTAACTAACCCATACTATTGCTGATAATCTTTTAACTACAGAATAGTAGTGACCGTAAACACCATAACTTGAGATAGTAGTAAACACCATAACTTGAGATCGTAGTAAACACCATAACTTGAGATAGTAGTAAACACCATAACTTGAGATAGTAGTAAACACCATAACTTGAGATAGCAGTAAACACCATAACTTGAGATAGTAGTAAACACCATAACTTGAGATAGCAGTAAACACCATAACTTGAGATAGTAGTAAACACCATAACTTGAGATAGTAGTAAACACCATAACTAGAGATAGCAGTAAACACCATAACTAGAGATAGCAGTAAACACCATAACTTGAGATAGCAGTAAACACCATAACTTGAGATAGTAGTAAACACCATAACTTGAGATAGTAGTAAACACCATAACTTGAGATAGTAGTAAACACCATAACTTGAGATCGTTGAGATAGTAGTAAACACCATAACTTGAGATAGTAGTAAACACCATAACATGAGATAGTAGTAAACACCATAACTTGAGATAGTAGTAAACACCATAACTTGAGATAGCAGTAAACACCATAACTTGAGATAGTAGTAAACACCATAACTTGAGATAGCAGTAAACACCATAACTTGAGATAGTTTAGAGGGGGTGTCGGTTTGTTGAGGTTCCCTTCTATAGATTATATATAGTGATTCGGTCTGAACTATAATTGTCGATTTAGAGAGGGTGTCCGTTTACAGAGGCTGTGGTTTTGAGAGGTTTTCACTGTACCTGTAAACTGGCTTGAGATAGTAGTAACTGTAAACATTTTAACTTGACCTAGTAGCAACTGTAGTTTTTACGGACTGAATGGTCATCCCGTTTGCAGCCCTTCTTGTGGTTTTGGTTAATAGATAATTTGTTCAATCTATGAAGATCCATAACAATTTGCAATCGTCTGCTTTTAGGCGAAGCCATCACATATTTATAGTTCTAGTACTTATGTACTTTGATGCCATCTAGATCAAATATTTCGGTTTGTTGTAGCAGATGTGTTTTGACAAGCTTTTTTTTTCAATTACCCATATTAATTAATCTTATCAGTTATTTTCATTATTGTAAATTTTTTTGTTTCTGACAATGAGTAACATATCGATGTCATAATGTTGGAATCTGTGGAATGATAACTATTTAAGCGATGACATTGAATTTTATGCTCTACCTGTTTGTACTGTATTGGATTTAATAGAATTATGCTATTCAGCTGTTGCTCGATATTCTATTTACAATTTCAACTATGAAGAGAGCAATAACCTCTTGTATCTTTCCACGTAGACCATTTCATGTCGGTGTCTTTCTTTTCCATCACTGACTTTTAGTATATGGACAAGTCCTCAAAAGTGAATTTGTCCAATTTAAGAAGAGCATCATAATCAGCATCAGAGAATTCCTCTAATTATACTATTTAGTCATTATGGTGTCAAACTTGTAAACAATTCAGTTTTAGAAGGTAATTTTTATATTTAAGTCCAATTCCCTTTTTTAAAAACCTATTTTGAAAAAGTACTAATTAATTACATCAATATTCAAATACATGTCTCCTTGTTTTAATAAAATTTATATGAACTGCGAACTTCAAAAGTTTACAATCCCTAAGGCATATTATTGTTTAACCCCCTGATCAAAGAGAATATATTGAAAAACTTTATTTTATCCGACGATGTTTTGTTTGTAAAATGGATATCAAAGTCCGCAGCCAAAAAATTTGTTTATTTGAATGAAAGTTAAAATTTGATGTTATAAAATTTTAAAAAGGGATCTTCAGACTAATTTTCTGGGCACCAGAAATGATTTGTGGTTTTCGACATAAGAACCTTTGAATGCTAATAAATATTTAAATAATGCACAAAAAATCTCAAAGAAATCCTAAAGAGGATTTGCTTTATTACGACCATGATTCATCAAGCAATTCTGTTGATTGTCATAAAATTCTGCTATAACGGTTCAGACATATTGAAATCTAAAAACCTCCCTAAGAAACCCACGACTGACTCTTCTAATTGCATGTGAACATATAAAATGTGGGGTTTTCTTATAACACGTGTAGAGCATACTGCCAATCAAAGCGATGTTAGTATAATAGCTTCGTTATATTCCCTCTCAATTATATCACACGTGTAAGGAGAGTACGAGAACACGTGAAGAAAAGAATGGTTTCACGTTACTAAACCTAATTCACGACATTTATACAAAATGTATCAAATAATACAATGCCAGGTTTACAAATGTTTCTTTATCATAAAATTGACAAGTGCAAACATGCACATAAATGACACGCGCTGTTCTTTTTATTATCTTTTACCTTCCTTTGAACAATTAACAGCTTGGCGGGAAAACAACGACATGTCAAATCTCAATAAATCTCGCGAGATAATACGATATCGATTATCAATTTAAAAAACATAAAATGGACACTAATAAAAGGATAAATATGAGTTTTTAATGTGGTGACTTGTGATTTTTATCTTTTAGTCAATCTGCTGCATTTTTATTCATTTCAAAGAAAAATGAAGCAAAGTGTCCATTAGGGTTAATGAGATGTTTACACTTGACTTGCTACAATTTGATTTAATTCGTCTGGGCTTTTTCAGTGCTAAACTAAGCGGTCTTTTAATCATGCATATTAACATGCTTAAACTTCTTAATCTTGAATCGAAAAACAAAACTTCCACAAAGGTGTCCAAAGTCAATAGAATGTCGTGTTAAACATGATCCTAGAAGATACAATTTTTGATATACATCTTAATATACACCTATTAGTATTTGTCAACGATACCGACTTTATGACAATGGATCACTCACACCTTAACTCTAGTGCATCTTGTAGCAGATTGTTTGTATCAAATTAGCCACTTTTCTACAATAACTGACGATATCCATTACAGGATTTCTCGTAGATAAACTCTTTAAAGTTTTAAGTTTCTCGCTTATCTTTTATATTATATATTAATGGCAGTGTCGGGTTAGTTTAGGTCGAGTTCTTGCCGCCATTATTAAGACTATCACATGACTTCCCAACTGCAGATGTCGCCACGGGTTCTTATCAATATTGTTTATTTAAAACGTTAGATTTGACCCAAAGGTCACGGGTAATAGTTGTACGTCTTACAAAATGTTTATTTAGATCTCGATCGTCATTTGAAGAAAATAAAATCTAATTGAATAAAGGGCGAATGTCATCTGACGCGTGCCGAATATGACACCTACAATTTCAATAATGTTGAGTTTGTGACCTTTTCGGATTATAGTGATTTATTCCAAAAGTGTGTGAAGAAATGCCAAAAGTCTTTTTGGAATATTTTAATCATGGCATGTTTTTGTTGTTGCTATAACATCCATTTTGACCATGGTTACAACGAAGCTGATTGAGTTACTATGGAAATTCACTTTTAAGTCTTAACTTTCCCTTTCAGCGATAATTTATGACACTTTTGTTTTATTTCAGAGCATCACATTTGAGATGGCACCCTCCAATTCATTCCCCGGTGCCCGTAGAAATGCTGTTTCCAGTTTTATGGACATATTCAGAAGTATGTTCCTTCGTTCACCCAGTCCATTAGATGAAAGAGAAGACGACATTGAACCCAGTTGAAGGTGATGACCCGACCCAAAGGGGCTTGTTCTACCAATTACCACCTGTGATGTTACGTCATAGATGACCTCACATAACATCAGGAACAGACAACTCTCATTCCATTGAGACACGATACCAAGTCTTTCCTGAATTACACATTCAGGCCTCGCTGGTCGGGAACTCTATATATTATAATTGTGACATTTTAAATGTCGACCCATGAGGAAACTATGCAAACGAATAAAATAAGAATATTTGTTTCTCGTTTTCAGTAGTTAAATTCCATTTCAATTATTTGTTCATAATTACATTATTATTATTATTTTGATTAATTGTTTGAATTCAGATTTAATTTTTGATCAAGAGCCAAATTGTTCAAAATTGGTTTTAATGAATTTACGTTTTTGAAGATTCGCCGCCAGGATATTTTTTGAGGCTGTTGATCATAAAGTATTTGCACTTTTTAGTTTGAATATACAGAGAAACTTCTTATTTTTTTAAAATTAACCTCAAGTTGGAGAACAAAATACATCAACTTAGTGCTCAAAGTCAGGACATTACATCCGGGTCACCTGACTCTAATTATATAACAACGAATACTATTGGATGAAGAGGGCATGTTTCAAGCGCCAATGGAAGACTATGTAAGATCGAATAATTTATTTTTAAAAATTTGCAAATGTTAACATATAATGTTATGCTAATATGCAATTAACTAGAGATTTCATTTGATCTCAAGGCAGCCATTTTGAATTTGCTGTTCCTGATCTCAATTTGACGTCAGAACGACACCTAAAATATTACGGCTATAAATAGATCTCTTTATGTGGAATTTTTACTCTGGCATTGCTATCGTGTTTAGGACTAAAATCAGAGTCATCCTTGAAAGGACATCTGAATTTTGTTACCTATGTATAAATTAAAACACTCTTTTCCGACACGAAAACTTGACTGTATTTGTTTTGATTTTTTCAAAAACATTTTGTTTTCAAATTGTACAGTATTTCCCCATAATATATTTATATTGCACAAGTCATTATAAAATTCCCCACAATCCCCCGTAATATCATCCCATCCTTCTCACCCAAGCTGAACGCTAAAGGGTTAATATGCTCAGATTAATATCGGTTGTGTTAACCCTTTTGGTGGCACAATATTATTTTATTCTCCTTATATTGTTTGATTTTTTGACAATCAGATACATTCCTAATGTATATACATTTTTTTTGTGTTAAGTGTCAACACAATGCTTCGCTTTTTACATGTTTGGCAGAATGTTAACAAGGTATCACGAACTATGTCTTATATCTTGACTGCAATAGCCAAGTTTCTTGTATCACAGAAGTTTGTAAATGCAGAGATCCAATCAAATAGCTGCATTGCAGACTTCCATGATACGAGAAAGGTGGCTATTGCATTCAAGGCATTGGAGGATGGTTTGGCAGTAGTATTAGAATTAGTAATTTGAACATAACATAAACATAATACGTTTCAATTTTCATCGGCAAAATATATGACGTCATACATTATTCAATATTAATTATAAGCAACTGTCTCTGTTTTTATATCTTTGTTGCATTGTTTAAATGCATACATATTAATTTGTAAGCTTTATATTATTTTTGTTATATTAATTGTGTTTAATATCAACAGTATTCAGTTTTCTTTATTTATCTTGTTCATAACCAAGTGCCAAATCTTCAACCAAATATAAGTTTTAAGATTCAGTACGTTCACTATATTTCTGCTTTGCTCAGTATTTACATAGTCGTTTGCTCACTGTCAATCAGTATGGTTGCGTGACTACATTTTTTTTTTAAATTTTCCGCATATCATGCTTCCATTCAGTTCATATATTAATGACGTCAAAATTATTGCACCCTTTTTTATGTTTTGTCATGACGACCCGGATTTAAGCGTAATCAAAGCAAAATCTAGTCACAAAAGTCTTGAACTTTTTTTTTTCATTTTTGATAAGTCTTATTGTTCAAGACTATAGTGGTTATTTATTAGGTTATTTATAGTTTGTGTGTGTAGTAGGTGTCATTAATATTTCTGTTTTCCAAATAAGGAAATCAATTCCTTATAAGGAATAAAGAGTTTTCCAATGATCTCAATTGATAAATAATGTTGATTCACTAATGTGATGTAATTGATGGATTTAGGGGTGTGGCTTGTTGTTTTTGATGAACGTTTTTTTTTTTTCAATATCATTTTGCAATGTTATTTGATTTTTGCTTCATTTTTCATTTGTTATGATTAAATTAACGTTTTGACTGAAAGGAGTTGCCGAGCTTGATTCTGTTCTTTTTTTTCTTTATTGTTAAAGATTATTCGCCATTTTTCTGAATCAAAAGATAAGAAAGATAGAATTGAACCTGACATCTCCTTCTCAATTTTTCAAATTACTTGAATGATTGTTTTGTATATAATTTGGATTAAATAATTTGATTTGGTCTGAAATTGCTTCCACACTTTCACATGTCGCAAACTAGTCACATTTGTTCGTCCTTTGTTTTATGCCGAATGATGCGGAACATCGAGATCGAATTTAACTGACGAATTTCTCATTGGATTAAAGAATTCCTTTTGATATGATTGATGAAGACCCTGATTGGGATTATACATATCCGGAAAGAAAGATTAAAGTTCTATCTCTAACTATATAAAAGCTATTAAATGACTATTTTCAATTATTGTTATACATGTGAAAGTGTGGAGGAAATCCTATTTGTTACTCTGTTTCATGAGTTTAATAATAATAATAATAATTGTATATAGAGCCCCTGGTTGTGTTGAATTATTTGTAAGGATTATTGATCCTGATGACAGATATTGTAATGTTTCGGATATCGACTCTAAAAATGATAACTTAAAGGAGCTATACCACACAAATTATCCATAATTGATAACTTATGATTTCACGAACAATGTCGTTTAATACTAGAGTAAAAGGTGGAACAGCCAAGATCTTCATACACTAGAATTGTATGAAATTATGTTTGCAAAACGTTCGTGGGACATTACCTTTAAGAAATATATCAAAAATATATCGTATAAAAACAAGTTTATTTGTTAAATATCCCAAACATTACAAAATCTGACTGTTTTTTTTGTTTTCCAAAAATTCAAAAAATATTTCATAAAAATTTGTTATCATTTGTACAGCCTTGTTAGTTCGAATTGAGTTTTGAAAAGCTATTGATCCAGTCTACCGTAGTCAAGATTACAAAGTAATCTGGTCACGATTGTCAAGCCTGAATGCACATGATTGAGATGTTTTTGTATTAAGGGTATTGAGTGTATGTTTTTACAATATTTTGAATGGAATTAGAATTGCTTAGGATCATAAAATGATGTTTTGATTTTATAACAAATAAATCAACAAATGACATATTTTCTATATTTGATATTTTTATAAAAAAAAAAACTAGTACCACTTTGAAAAATAGCTATCATTATTTTCTACGTTTCAACTTTGTACAATTTAAACAACCTGTTAGACAATCAAATATTTTGAATTAAATTCATTCATTCGAATTGGTTCGGTATATCGAACACTGTTCACTGACAAAATAAATACATGACTAGGTTTTGTTTCCGGAAGGAAACTTCTCGTAGAAGGAATTTCACTTCCGGTTTTATTGGAAGCGTTTTGTTTATGGCCCCAGTGAGTTATCTTTCCTTGTTTGAATTTTGATTTGGCTTGTAATTAGGCATTATTATTGATTGTTCATTGTACCTGGTCAGTAATTATGCAACACAATTTAGAATGTAGTGCTTTTAGACTCTTCTACCTCATATGACAATCGCCTACATTTTTCAAGCATGATTTGTGATTTTTTGATAAACGTTTTAATACAATAATTGAAAAATCATATGACGTAATTTTTCGACTAAATCTTTTCTTTTAATTAGAATCAATTTCAACATCAAATCAAAGGCGTGCATTATATATATAATGGGAACTATTCAAAATAACATCCGACATTGAATCAAAAACGATTTGAATTTATATCTGTCTCACCCATTTCTTTTTCCTGCTCTTTTTCATCATCACTGTGCATGTCTAGAGCATTATTCATCTCAATTCCAAACAATTTGCATATCTCGATTGTATTTCCGGTCACATGATCGCGCCAAATTATTTAGAAATACCATTCATTAGGTCATGTGATTGAAATGATTCCACAATATAGAAAAGATAAGAAAAAACTATATTTTTGCCTTCCCAATTTTGTATACTGATATTTTGAATTAACTTGGCTTCAATATTTGTTAAATAAATTTGTATTTGCTATCAATTTGTTTTATTAGCACCAGCCCATCCCTGCCTGTCATCATAGCAACAACATTGTCTTTAACATTATAGAGCAGTACGAGATCCCTGCCTGTCATCATAGCAACAACATTGTCTTGTACCATTATAGAGCAGTACGAGATCCCTGTCTGTCCTTAAAGCAACAACATTGTCTTGTACCATTATAGAGCAGTACGAGATCCCTGTCTGTCATCATAGCAACAACATTGTCTTGTACCATTATAGAGCAGTACGAGATCCCTGTCTGTCATTAAAGCAACAACATTGTCTTGTACCATTATAGAGCAGTACGAGATCCCTGTCTGTCCTTATAGCAACAACATTGTCTTTAACATTATTGTACCATTATAGAGCAGTACGAGATCCCTGTCTGTCCTTATAGCAACAACATTGTCTTGTACCATTATAGAGCAGTACGAGATCCCTGTCTGTCCTTATAGCAACAACATTGTCTTGTACCATCATAGAGCAGTACGAGATCCCTGCCTGTCCTTATAGCAACAACATTGTCTTGTACCATTATAGAGCAGTACGAGATCCCTGCCTGTCCTTATAGCAACAACATTGTCTTGTACCATCATAGAGCAGTACGAGATCCCTGTCTGTCCTTATAGCAACAACATTGTCTTGTACCATCATAGAGCAGTACGAGATCCCTGTCTGTCCTTATAGCAACAACATTGTCTTGTACCATCAT